TGCATCGGCAGGCAGACTCTCAACCACTGCGCCACCAGGGAAGCCCGAGGCTTTGTGTTTTGAAAGTCTTTCCTCATTCTGACCATGTGTTTGTTTCCTGGGCCTCTGTCTTCATGATGGAGGCCTTAAGTGCTGGCTGCAGAGGAGATGCTCCAGGTTTTGGTCCTGGGCTGCTCTGGCTTTTGTGGGACACACTGAGGTCTCTGTCTACGGGTTTCTGGGGGGTGTCTCTGGGGGCCATCCTGCCAGGGTTGCCTGGTGAGGATTCGGAGGGTCCACTGCTCCCTTGTTTCTCTCCATTCCTGGTTCCCCTGGTGCTCATCTCAGCTGGCTCCATGCTGAGTCTGGTCTCGGCAGGTTCCTGGTATGTGTGTACCCAGCAGAGGGAAGGTGGGCCGTGGGGCTAGTGCATCTCTGCCCAGGACCTCATGGTTCCTATGGCAACCCCACTGAGCCTCCGTTTAACCCACGTCTCTTCTGCCCTCCTGCTGTGGCCATGATCTGTGGGCCCCTGGATTGTCCGCTTCCTGCCTTGTGGGGAGCGTATAGGGCTCCATGTACTCAGTCCCCCATGGGCACACTGTAGGCTGTTCCCCTAGGCGACTTGGAGTATGCCAGCCTGACAGGGTCCTCCATGTACAGTCCTGCAGGAGTCCAAGGCCCCTGGTGAGTGCCGCCACTCCTTGACAGGCATTTGGGTCTGGTCTCTGTGCACCTGTGTGTCCCTTACCTGCTAGCCCCCTTGTGCCCCATGCCTGCCCATGCCTCATGACCTGGTACCTGCAGTGCCCCTGAGGGGATCTGTTTATGTGTGAAGACCCTGGCCCTGGGCAGAGCTGGGTCCAGGGCTGCACTCGAGGTGTGAGGTCTCTGTGTTTATGGGGGTGGTGGGTACTGGGGTGTCAGGTACTGTGCAGGGCATTGGGCTGCTGGAGGAGGGCACTCTGGGCGTTCTGGATGAGGAGTTAGGTGGGCTTGACACTCCCTTTTTGGGTTTTCACACAGCCTGCGTCCTGGGCAGGAGGGTGGGTGAGGATTGACACCTGGGATTGCACTGCCACCACATGCTATATCCAGGTCCTGCCCGCCAGGCCGGCTGGGGAGGCTGCAGGTGCCCCTCGACCTTCCTTTTCCTGCTGCTGCGGTTGTGCCCCTAGGAGGGGCTTCCAGGCTTAGCAAATAAAATTGTGGGTTGCCCAGCTAAATTTCAAACAGACACGGGTGACTTTTTAGGAGGTGACCTATGCAGTGTTTGGGAAATACATATACTAAAGACATTACACTGTTTTCTGAAATTGAAATTTGACTGGACATCCTGTGTTTTATCTGGCAGCTCTACTCAGGGGCACTTGGCGATGTCTGGGGATATTTGTGGTTGTCATTCAGGCATGGATGCTCCTTGCATCTAGTGGCCTGGGCCCAGGGGTGCTCTCAGTGCTCAGCAGTGCCCAGGATGGCCCCACAGAGAGTGCTCCAGCCCACACATTGGCCATGTCAGCCAAGAAAGCTGCCCTGAGCATAGGCTCACCCTACTTTACCCCTTCTTCTTCTGACCTGTCCCCCGTTACTCAACTGCAGCAGGGGCAGCAGACAGTCTGATTTGGGGTGGTGGGGAGCAGGGGTGCATTGCAGCTTTGTTGGTCCTGAGGGGCTGAATGGCACATGGCCATTTGCACAGGTAGCTCAGAAAGTGTCTGAGCCCAGAACCTGGCCCTGCCCCACCCAATTTGTCTTGAACCCCGTGGAACATCCGCCCCATGAGTGAGATGGGGGCATCAGCCTGGGGCCTGTCTACCCCGGCATCCTGGTGGTCCCTTCATCAGCCCTTCTTAGGGCCCTCCCCATGCTGGGCCTCCTCCCTCCTTGGGTATGACTTTACCCTCATCTCTCCCTCTTGCCTCCGAGGTTTACTATCCCCTACAACCTCACATTCTGTCCACCCATGGCCAGTTCCTTCCCTTGCCAGTATTTCATACTGTTTCTGTCTGCTTCCTTTATCGGAGATTTAAAAAATAAAAATGTACCTGCACATGGTTAAAAAACCTAATAACATTAAAAGGCTTTTGATGAAAATTGACTGACTGCTGTCTTCCTTCTCACCGGCATGGACCAATCTTCTCCAGAGGCAGCTCCTTTATCTTCTTTCTTTTTAACTTTTTATTTCGAAATAATTATAGATTTACAGTAAGCCACAAAAGAATGAACAGGGATGTCCCATATACCCTTCACTCAGTTCCTGCAGTAGCATCATCTTGCCTCCTATAGTCCAGGGTCACAATTGGGACGGACATGGACCAGCCGCAGGGCACCCTCAGGTTCTCCCAGATTTCCACGTGCTCTCATGCGTGCAGCTCTGATTTGATTACACATGTAGACCTGTGTAACCTCGGTCAAGACAGAGCTGCTCCATTACCATCCGGCTCCCTTCTGCCCTCTGTGGGCATACTGCCCTTCCCATCCCCTCAGCCCTGCTCACTCTCCATCTTTATGATCATGTCATTTCAGGAATATCGTACAAACAGAGTCTTCTGAGATTGGGTTTCACTCACCCTGATGCCCTTTGGCTTCTCAGTAGTCCATTCCTTTTTCCTGCTGAGTAGGATTCCATACCACAGTTTGTTTAACCATTCACCAACTGAAGGATATTTTGGTTTCATTTCTTGGCTGTTAAGAATAAAACTGCCTCTAATGTTCATGCACAGGTTTTGTGTGAACACTTGGGGTGTTTTCTGGGATAAATACCCAGGAGTACAATGGCTGGGTTGTGTGGTAGTTGCATGTTTAGTTTTATAAAGGACTGCAAACCATTTTCCAGAATGTCTGTTCCATTTACGTTCCCACCAGCAAGGCTGAATGATCCAGCTTCTCTGCATCCTCACTGCCTTGGATGTTCTTATTTCTGATAGTTGTGCTGTGGTATCTCATCGTGGTTTTAATTTGCCTTTGTTTCATAAGTGACTTTGAACTTCTTTCCATGTGGTTATCTGAGGCAGCGCCTTTGAACTTTTCTGTTTTTTTCTGGCATTTTAATTCCATCCGTAAATGATCCTTTTCCCACCCCTCAGCTGATCTCAGTTTTGACCTTCTTTGAGGATTGTTTGGAAGGTGAGGTGCTAACCTGACTTGCCGCTACAGCCTGCTGTGTTCCACATGGTTGTCCCTGTCCTTATTGGACCCGTGGCTGATAGTTATATGCATGGACATGACAGGGTTTGTGCTGTAAGGTGAACCCACCAAGCAAGCCTCTGTAGCTCTTTCCTGGGGGGGGGGGTGACTGGCTGCTCCAGGGCAGCACTTAACCCTTTCCTGCCTGGGGAGGGAGTTGGGGGCACAGCTGATGGGTTCTGGACGAGGGGTCTTGGGTACCAGCTGATGACCTTTCTGTCTTATACGTGCTCCTGGAAGGTCTTGCCCGCTTCTGTGTCTCAGCTCCCACCCAGCTGTGGGTCCTTGCTCAAGCCACATCTATAACCAGGACTCCAGCCATGTACTCTGGGTCCTGGATGTCTCCACTTAGGGCCCCTCCACCATGTCTGATGGTGCACTGGTCTCTCCTCTATGCTTATCTGTCTGTAAGGGCCCCATCATCCATCCGTCAATGACAACAGGATCTGGGGTCATTCCAGTGGATGTGGGCTGCCTGAAGTGAGGGTTAGGATGGTTCTGGCGCCCTGATCAGGTTGCGGAGCTTCCCTAGGGGAGGTGGGAGGTTGACATGGGCAGGGTGTGGCCTCACCATGCATCTCACCTGCGTCAGCTGTCTGCTGTCCTCCCAGCTCTTCCTGCCTGCCCACATCCCTCCTGAAATCCATTGTGTGCCCTGCCTTAGGACCCTTGGCTTCTCAGTGGCTTCTCAGGGCTGGAGGAGACAAATCCTGGACTTCAGTGTGGCCGTCTGTGCCTTTCCGCCTCACCTTGCGCACCGGACACCACTGTGGTCCCAGGGCCCTGCTTCCCACCTGTTGGGCCAGCCGTCTCCTCCACCTGCCAGACTGTTTCCTGGGGTTTCCTCCCTGGGCGGGGAGGGGTGGTGGCCATGAGGTCTCCAGCACATGGCTGTGCTGTGCAGCTTTACTAGGTGGTCCGAGGTGCACTTGGGAGGCACAGCCATGTATGGCCACGGCCTGACTCCACGCACTTCCCACGGTGTGCCCTGCCCGCCCCCATGCACCCCTTCCTCTCCCCGCAGGCTCCCTGAGGGCTCCCATGAGCAGCCCACTTTCCTCCTGGAGTGTGACAGCTCAGTGCTGGATGCACTGCAGAGGCACCTGGTGCTGCACAAGATCCGGCGGAAGGTCACCGTGGAGCCATGCCCCGAGCTGCGGGTGTGGGCCGTGCTGCCCTGTGCCCCTGAGGAGGCCGGCAGGGCTGTGCTGCTGCAGGAGAAGGCCGAGTGCACCACCATCCTCACCCGTGATCCCCGGACTGCTCGCATGGGCTGGCGGCTCCTCTCCCAGGATGAGGGCTCAGCCCTGGTGCTCGGGGGCCGTCTTGGGGACCTCCAGGATTATCACCGACACCGGTACCAGCAAGGTATGGACATGGGGTTGGACCTGGGGAAGGGTTGGGGGTAGAGGGGTGGTGCTGGATGGGGGCGGGGGAAGGACAGGGTGGGATGGGAAGGGACCGGAGGGGTGTGACACACAGCCCTGGGGAAACTGTGTGGTGAGCCCAGGCACTGGGAGGAGCCAGGGGAGAGAGCAGAGATCCGGGGTCAGGGGTAGGGTCTTCTTCTTTAGTAGGTAGTGTTGAGGGCCAGGCCAAAGTGCTCACCCAGGGACCAGAGTGCGGGGCTGGAGTAGGGACCTGGAGGATGGGGAGGGACACGAAGGGGTTCTAGGAGGGACCCAGAGGATTGTGGCGGGTCAGGTGGTGGGACTCCTACAGGCCAGTACCCCTGGCCACTCTTGGTTGAGCCCCCAGCTCTGGAGGACACCTTAGATCTCACCAAGCCTCTCCCTACCTCTACAGGCGTTCCCGAGGGGGTCCACGACCTGCCCCCAGGAGTAGCCCTGCCGCTGGAGTCTAACCTGGCCTTCATGAATGGTATCAGCTTCACCAAGGGCTGCTACATTGGCCAGGAGCTGACGGCTCGCACCCACCACATGGGTGTCATCCGAAAGCGCCTCTTCCCAGTACAGCTCTCAGGCCCCCTCCCTGTGGGCAGCATTGTCCCTGGCGCCTCTGTGCTCACCAAGTCGGGGCAGGTAGCCGGCAAGTACAGGGCAGGCCTGGGGGACGTGGGTCTGGCTCTGTTGCGGTCCGAGAAAATCAAGGGTCCTCTCCACATCAGAACCTCTGAGAGTGGCCTTGTGGCCTTAACTGCATCTGTGCCAGACTGGTGGCCCACATCCACTAAGTAGCCCTGGATGTCCCTGCAGTTCTATACAAGGCCTCTGTTTATCTGCTGCACCCTGTAGGCCAGCCCCCCCTTCCTAGGGTGGCCCAGTTGAAAGAATAACCCCTTGGAGGGTCCCCAAGTATATGTGGGCATCCCAGAGCTGCAGGCATGGTGGGGCATGCTGCTGCAGCCCAGGTGTTCCCAGCCCATCATGCTTCCTGTGGAGGGTCCTATGCTGAGGCTGGCTGTCCTCTCGTGCTGGCTTTGTGGCTGGAGCATCAGGAGCCCTCCTGAGGACTGAGGGTGGGTAGAAGTGAGTCCTACGCCTGCCTCTGTGCTGAGCAGAGGACCAGCTTCCACCAGGCCCTGGATGAGATTCCGAACCATATAGATCTAGAGGTAGTTCATCCATCAGCCAAGGGCAGGATGCTCCAGGATGCCTCTGGGCTGTCCGCACCCCTCTGAGCCTGCTTGGTCAGGCCTGGAAAGGAGGCTTCTCAGTGTGTGGGGTGGCTGAAGGGGCAAGTGGGCTCTGGGAATGGTCTTACCATGTTGGCTTGGGGGCATGTCTCAGGGTGGGAATCTCTTGGGGCCAGGTGGAGTGGCGGTGTCTGCGAGTGGAGGCACATGCACTGCTGACACCCACCTGAGCCCTCCAAGGTGTACCTCTGTGCTCAGGGGTGCCAGCTGGGGGAGCCCCAATACCATTTTATGCCAGCGTAGCACATCTCCACCGCTTCAGCCCCACGATGGCATTGGCAGCTCCCTCTCCCCACCATAGCCCTCATGAGCTCAGGGGAGGAGTGGCTGCCCTGGGACAGCAGTGCCCAGGGTGCAGAGAGGAGTTTCTGCTTGGCTTACTTGCTGCTGTTTTCTGATGTATTCATGTTTTCACAGTAAGGGGATGACTTACTTCCCCACTTTAAACCACTGACCTCCATTTTCCCACTGCAATGTGAATCTCGTGGTTCCTGGGTGTCCTACCTGATGCCTCAGAGTGGCTATTAAAGTGTGACCCACAACTGGCCCATGTGGAACTCTGGTTTCTTTTTCTTTTTCCCCCCCTTAACTTTATTTATTTATTTATTTTAAATTTTTATTGTAGTATAGTTGATTTGCAATGTTGTGTTAGTTTCTGCTGTACAGCAATCAGTTATACATACATCCACCCTTTTTGAGGTTCTTTTTCCATATAGGTCATTACATAGTATTGAGGAGAGCTCCGTGTGCTATACAGTAGGTCCTTATTATCTATTTTATATATAGTAATGCGTATATGTCAATCCCAATCTCCCAATTTATCTCTCCCCCACCCCCTGCCACTTCCCACCCTGGTAACCATAAGTTTGTTTTCTACATCTGTGACTCTGTTTCTGTTTTGTAAATAAGTTCATTTGTACCATTTTTTTAAAGATTCTGCATGTAAGCGATATCATATGATATTTGTCTTTCTCTGTCTGACTTACTTCACTCAGTATGACAGTCTCTAGGTCCATCCATGTTGCTGCAAATGATATTATTTCATTCTTTTTTTATGGCTGAGTAATATTCCATTGTATATATGTACTTTTTTTTTTTAAAGATTTCAACAAATTTATACAATATATATTGAGCACTAATTCCTGTACAGCTTATTCTTACTAGTTTGGATCCAGCTATTCCAATGTATTATGAACCAGTGAGCTGTCCATGTCTTTTAGAACAAGTCTCAACTGAAATCTCAGAACAATCACAGCAAAAGCCATGGAATAATGGAAGAATTAGATGTTTCCATCATAATTAAGACCAAGGCTCCATGACGGGCAGGAGAGAGCATTCAAGGATAAAAGTCAAGTTTTCTACCTAGGTTAGATAGTAACTGAATTGGGATCTTAGAATTCCCAACTTTTATTTGGTGTAGTAATAAGATACAAAAAAGGCAGGGGCACCTTTTTTTCCTAAATGGAAACCTTCACCAAAAGAGGTTAGAAGACTTCAAGGCAAGTTCTTTCTCCAAAATGAGTAAAATGACATCAGTTCTAATTCTTACTGAGGTTACAGACCAACCATCAAGATATTATTAACTCATGTCTAAGAGGGAAGTTGGGAGGTAGGGAGAGGTAAGGCCTTCAGCAGAGAAAGCAGGTTTTAAGTGGGGAGACAGCCAACTTCTGCCCTGAAGTTATTGCTAGGTTGTAACTGAGCTGCATATATGTAGACCTGTTTCACAGAGGAATTGAGTAGCTGAATCCTTTGTTAAACTGGTAGTCACTGTAAACTGTAGTATTTACTGTCCAGCAGAAAGGTGAAAGATGCTGTCTTTACAGGGAAATCTCTTGATTCCCCTAGTTTCTACAAAGGCTGTAGCCAAGAATCAAATCGTCCAGGACTTGGGATAATGTCAAGGTAAATGATCCAGTGTTCAGCTGACAACCACTTTATAAAATTATTTCACTCCCCCCGAAAGGGATTAGTGGTTGTTGGAGAGAAAGCATTAAGCATGTCTGTACCAATAAACAGGTCCCCTTAGAGGTTTCCCACTGCTTTCCAAAGTCATGATTTGGTTCTTCTAGTCTGAGAGATCTTGGCTGCAAGGGGCGGGGGTGACTGCCAAGGCTCTCAGGTGTTTAAGGGCTTGCATAGCTCACCCAGTGGTAATGGGGGCACATACAGCTTTTCTGATAGTACATAGTATGTATGTTTGTGCCTGGCTAAGCTTCTCCAGCAAACTTAAGCTCTTCTAGTGGTGAAAAGACCCTACCTAGGAGGGCTCAAAAACATCACCTACTCATTGTCTGGCCCTTCCTAAAAGGCTTAGAGAATGCTTCTTCCTGACCCGAAATCAGTAGGCTGAGAAAGGAAATGGGAGTAGGGAGTCCCCACCAACCTGGGGGACTAAGACTTCTAGCTGTCTGCTCAAGGGCTGAATCCAGCCTCATTCAGTACCTTCTGATACCTCTTAGGTGCTGTGTCTTACATACTCAGTCTCCAGGAACTTCATAAGAAGTCTGGCTAGAGAAGAGTGAGGCTCTTTGCCTAAGTCTCTGTGCCTTCAGTGAGACCATGTTTAAAACCTCTGTGGGAAGGAGGGACCTCATGCTCAGGGGAAAGTGGTTTAAGGCTGTTTGTTGGAGAAGTCAAGCCAAGCAGAAAGCCATTACTTCCACCCAACGCTTTCCTTTTTCTCATAAGCTAAAATTAAGGATGGCACAAAGTCAGGCCCCAAGAGAAGAAGCAGAGATGATCCATGCACCATCTCTTGCACAAAGGCTGGAATTTCCCAGCAGTTTGAAAGCCGGATGCTTTGCTGACTGCCAAGGGCAGGTCAGGAGACTGATGGCTTCCAATCCCAGCACTTAAGGAAGCAACTCTTAACGACTTCAGGTTTTTTTCAGTAGCATTTGTGTTTCATTTCTCACCAGAAATGAGTTTACCGGTCCAAATTCTGTCCTAAGGAGGATCCCTACTGGTCTCGTAAGCTGACACCTTTTTGGTCTGAGGAAGCACATGGATTTTAGGTAATGCAGCAACAGACTTTAGCAAAGGTTGGTTAAAGCCCAGAAAGCTGGAGGGACCAGAAATGAATCCAGATGTGCTGGGGAAGAAGACAGCCATTCCTACCAGGACTTCTGGTGGGTGAAACAGAGGCACGCAGCTCAGGGGGATGGGTGGGCTACAGGAGGAAGGGTGAAACTGTTTAGGTTCTCAGAGGAAGGGAGGAAGATATGGTCCAAATTCCAGAAAGTCCTCTCTTCATCAGTTACCATCATCACCCCAAGAGCATTGAAACAGGGACTTGCCTGTGTGATCTGTACCAGTTCCCACTGGCCTCGGCCTCTGCCAGACACAGGGTGCACCTCTGAAGCAAGACAGGCGTGCCCAGAGGTGACACAGCATCTTTGCTTGCCCTGGTCTTAGGAACACTGCAGATTTTCTTGTTAGCCTGCCCCTCTGTAAGCTGGCTAACCGTGGGCCCAGACATCTCGAGCTATGTCCCTGTAAAGCACTGAAGAAGCCAGTAGAAGCCCTCAGGATCAGAAGACATGCACGGCTCAGATCACGTACTGCCGGCAGATGGGACACTGGTTCATGCGCTTGCCACACTTGGTACAGGTGACCATGTGGCTGCACTGCAGCAGAACCCAGTCGATGGGCGAGTCCATGCAGATCCGACACAGATTCTCCTCCAGGCTGGATGGCACTGCTCCCCTGCTCCCCTGTTTTGGTCTTCAGCACCAACACCAGCTGCTGGAGTCCCTTCTGACCCTTGTACAGCCACCTCACCCTCCATCGGCTCCCACTTCTCACAGCAGCCCTTGTAGTTGATGAAGTTGTGAGCCAGGATCTCTTTGAGATGCCGCACAGTTAGACCTTCAACGTCCTCCGGTCGGTCAGGTCAGACAGAGAGGCCCTCCAGCCTCAGCTATCCTCTGAGTCGACGGTCTGCGTCCACCCTCAGTAGGTGCTCTGGCTGTGCTCTCCAGGTAGACGGGTTCCTCTTGGTCCTGAGACACATGGCCATTGGCCTTCCTGGCCATGCCTGTGAAGTGCGCCCCACAGGCCTTGCAGCTTGGTTCCGAGACCGTGGGGGAAGGGAAGGAGCTGTACCCAGGGATAGAATAAACCTGCGACCTGGCTTCATGGGGCGGTGACGCTGCCTCAGGCTGTCCATCCAGGCAGAACCAGTTGCAGCAGGTTGCCCACATAAAATCTGGGAGGGGAGGGGAGGGGAGAGGCCGGATCCTGCCTGTGTACGCCTCAGGCAGGAGAGCTGTGGGCTGTGCCCTGACGGCATCTCGGGGCTGAGGGGCGGTCACGACATCCTCAAGGCAGCCCCAGGAGTTTGCTGTACATCTTTATCCATTCCTCTGTCGATGGACATTTAGGTTGCTTCCATGTCCTGGCTATGGTAAATAGTGCTGCAGTGAACAATTGGGGTGCATGTTTGATTTCAGATTATGTTTTTCTCTGGATATATGCCCAGGAGTGGGATTACTGGGTCACATGGTAGTTCTATTTTTAGTTTTTTAAGGAACCTCCATA